GGGGGGGGGGGGGGGGGGGGCGGCAGTCAGCTGTAACATTCAGAGTAAGGCAAGGTACATGCAGGGGCCCTGGGGAAGGAAGAGACAAATCTGCTTTGTCCAGGGCACTTTCACCAACAACAAAGTGCTTGATCAGAAGACCCAAAGCCCCCTCATGGCCTGCTCCCAGGCTGCTCTCTCCCAGCCATGCCCACCAGGCCAAGGGAACAGTGAGCAGACCAGGTGAGCTATCTTCCTGGCCTGATCCATGGTTCTCCAGGTCTCTGGCACAGCCCTTTTCAGGAATGCGTGTTCAGAACAGAGGAGGCCCGCAGGGGCCACGAATGCCCATTCCTGGTTTGGGGAGAGGCTCCCAGGGGCCCCTGGCAGCACTGGGAGAGCCAGGCCATTGACTCCTGGCAGGAGAGGAGAGTTTCCAGTGACATGTGGTCTCTAAAATTAGCAGCCGAGACCTCGTGGCCTACGGCTCAGGTTTCCCTGCCTCAGCCTCCAGCTGCCCACCAGCCTGCCCCCCATTGGGCTGCAGTCCTGAAGGTGGAGGGAGCTACCGAGTGCTCCAGAAGCCAGAGAGAAGCCATGCACTGACTCACATCGGCATAGACGGAAATCACTGGAGAGGCCCAGAAAGGCAAGTCTGACTAAGCCCCACCTCCCGCACTGAGCTCCCCAGCTGCTGAGCAGATCCAGTGATGTTGAGGAAGAGGCCCGCTCCTCCCAGCTAGAAACAGGGCAGAGGAGATGTGTGCCCCCTGCTGGTAGAGATGGGGCGCATGGACACCACAGGGATCCAGCAAAGACAGGGCAGGTCAGACCAAGTGTTGTGCTCCCCACTACCCCGACAAGGCTGGGCAGGCAACTGCTGATGAGGAACCACTGCTGTCGCCCTGGTTACTTGGTCCCAGGGAGACAGCAGTGATGACAGCGCAGCAGGGACCCTGCTCTCCTCTGTGCTGTCCCGAGCCTTCCCCAGCTACCGGGAACCAGGGTTTCTGAGACAGCCAGGACACACACACAGAATCCAGCACCAGATCTGTGCAGTGTACACTCACTCATAGCCATGGGACGGTCAGGGTCTCCCCCTCAGCAGGTCAGGTTCCCCTTCCTCTCGCCAACTATCATGGATGCTCCCCAGTCCCCAAAGCACCCTGTGGGGCCAAACTGTCCCCACCACCCAGCCCAGCCCTGACAGTTCTCTTTGTCACCACCTGTGTACTCTCCCTTCCTGTTGGGGCTGTGCCTCTGGATAATTCCCTAACCTGTGCTCTGCCTCCCCCAGGGAACCTCACCTCTCAACCGCCTCCTTCCTGGAGTCACCATGCTCGAGCCCCTCGTCATCTCCTCCCTCCCATCCATTCCTCAACCTACTCCAGTCGAGGCTACCAGCAGGACCATCAGCAGCCTCCTAACGGCCCAATCCAGCGACCGTTCTAGAGTTCCTGTCACTGTGCGGCATGCTCTGTAGCATCTGCTGCTGCTGTCAAGCTTCACTCACGATACCTCCCATTCAGCAGCGCCTCTGTCACTGCCTGGTTATTCTGCTCCCTCAGGGATCTGCACTCTTCAGTTTGCCCTCTATACTTTCTTCCTAGCCAATCTCATCCTTGAAAGGGATTTCTATCTGCGACCCAGACTCTTATACTTGACCACCTACTGGATGTCCCCAGAGACACTCCAAACTCAGCTTGTCCAAAATGGGCCTCCCTTACCCCACCTGACCTATCTTGTGCATCCCCCACTGGGGTGGCAGGCATGTGAGCTGCCTTGGACTCCACCCTCCTGGCCCTGCAGCCCTCCAGACAGACCACCCGCTAGTCATCCCCTCCACCGCTGCCATCTCCCTATCCGCAACTGTCCAGCTTTTCCATCTCCCACCCCCCACTTCCCCCGAGCAAGCCAAATCTGATCACGTCCCTCCTCTGCCGGACCCCTCTGCCACCAGCCCCCAGGCCCTCTGCAAGCTGGCTCCTCTCCAGGCCGGCTCCTCTTCATGCCTCACTTACCACGTGGCCCTTGGCTCTAGTGACACAAATACTGCACAGTTCTTGGAATGCACCTGGCTCTGCATGGCAATACTCATGGCTGGAATATCCTTTCTACCCAGCTCAATCATCACCTCCCCCCAGAAAACCTCTCCTGACCCACCACTGCCCTGTTTAGGGGGCCGCCTCTTTGGGTACTCCCACAGCAACCCCCCCCACACACCCCCCCAAGGCTGCATTGCTGTCTGTGTTGTCACCATCTGTTCTTCGTCTGGCTGCCCTTCTGGGCTATGCATGCCTTCAGGCCGGGCACCAGACCTTTTCCCTCTAGACTCCTGGCACATTGAAAGGGGGTCTTCCAGATGACCTCATCCCACTCCCAGGAGAGGAAGCACTCCCTGGCAGGTGAGGGGATGTGTTTGAGGCTGCACATCTGGCCCAGGCAGAGTGTCCCTGGGCCCAGCTTGCACCTTCTTCTCGCCGCACCCCTGTCTACCTGGGGGCCTGGCACCAAGGTGGGGAACAGGCAGACACAGCTTGCCAGCCGGTCTAGCAACAAAGACAGAAGACAGCAGCAAGAAGGCGCTGTCTCAGACCCATGCCGATGAGCAAGCCAGGCGTGCGGCTGCAGCAGCAGCTGAAAAGAAAATACACAGGAGAAACAATTCACCATGAGCCAGAGGCAGACCCCAAAGCTCTGGCCTCTACATCCTCAGTCTGCTCCCTCGGTGCCCTGGCAAGGCTGACCAGGCCCTTCCCGATAGGCTTATGCCAGCCAGGGAGCTAGCCTTCTGGAACATTAACGTGTCCTTTTGTCCATCCCCTTCCATACTGCTCTATGTAGAGTTTACCAGGCCCCCCAGGTCAGAGCACAGCACATGGTGAACAGGGGTCAGCCTCACAGTTTCCACGTCGGCCTGCAAAGATAACTGATGCACTGCTTTCCTCTCTCCTGTGCTTGCTTATCTTACATCACTCTCTGCTTTATCTCCCGACTACTGTTTCCCAGGTAACTTTTCTGAGCTATTCGTATAGGGACAACGGGCAAGAACCTAACAGTCAAAGGAATGTCCTAAGGGTATAGGGTAGTCACTGACAGAATAGTGCAGGGTCCAGACTAATGCATCCAAAGACAGAGGTAAAGGCCATAAACAAAACTTAACAGAATCCAGATGTGTCCTTGGCAGACAAACGTTAGCCCCAAATACCTGAATTTGCCTTGGCTTTCCTGGTAAAATGCTTTTGGACGCTGAGCAGGGCTATCATGCTTTTATAAAAGGCTGAGTAAATAAGAGAAGGCAGGAGAAACAGAATCTCTCTGTGGACACTGGAGAAACAGAGCCAATCATATCAAGTGGAGAGAGACATGGCTCATGCGTGATTTTCACCATCCCGCCTCCCCGCAGTGAGAGAGGAGGAGGGAAGACATGGGCTTAACAGGAAGTGGGGAAGGAGCAAGTGCCGAGGGAGAGGTTCTATGGTGTGGCCACCCCAACCCTGCCCTGCCAACGGGTTTCGGGTGAGTGGGTCCTTCAGCCCTCCCAACACCCCTGGAGGGACAGGTTGTTCACACAACAGGCTCTTCCACTCTTCTGCCTGGTGCAAGCCGGAAGCTAGTGTCACAGCGCCACCTGCTGACTCTTCAGGCCCACCACAGCCCAGCAGAGCCCCACAGCATGGCCAGTGGACCACAGGTGAACTCACCTCAGCCCCTCTGAAACAATGAGACACTACCCTGCCAAGGAACCAGAAGCCAGGTGCCATCCCAGGAAAGGCTCAGGCAAAGCAGAATGATCCTGCAGGGACTTCTGCTGCCTCAGGAAACTCACCCCCAAGATCCTGGAGTCATGAGAATCATGAGGCAGCAGGAGAGGGTACTGGTTAAGACCAGGAGGTTCCCTAGGACCGGTCAAGGAGGGCCAGCCCACAGGGCTGCCCTGGACACTGT